GGTGGGTGGGTGAGTGGGTGAGTGGGCAATTTTATAGTACAGTATTGGAACTCTTGTAAAGGTCAACTGGTTGTTGGCGTTGGTACCAGCCTTGGACTCTTGGAGCTGGTTCTGTACCTACTCAGTTGTGCTGCCGAGCTGACAAAGACCACCAAGAAGGTGTGAGTGATGCACTGGTGTACTGCCTGCCAGGACAATGCTCGGCAAGTTCTTTGTTCATTCCACCATGGAGACTTGGAATCGCTTCCTCATCGCTTAGCCTTCAGCACTCCAAAGGACAAAAAGAAGCCACAGGCTGCCGCAGGAGTTGTTGATCAATGTTGATGACAATACAAATTATTTTTGGATTGGATGTTTGCCTCCCCTGACTGTCATCAAACATTGCTTCCCCATTGCGTCGGTTTCGTTCAACAGGGAAAGGTCCTCGTGTCATCATATGGGTTGTTTCCAGCTGACTAGCCAAATCCCAGAGTCAGTGAATCCCTTTTCTCTTTGGAAGTCATCGTTCTCTTATGGCCGCTGGTTCCATGGCTGGATTGGTTGCTTGCTTCTGGATAACCGCAGGGTGGGATATGGATAGTTGCTAAGATATTGTTGGAGCGCACTTGCCATACGCTCCCTGCTTGTCATCATGCTTACGTGGATGCCATGGCCCCGAAAGGAAGAGCTTTTTCCGAATACCAAACAGGTGGTGAGCCCCACTTCCAGTTCCTGGCGGGTGTAGTTGTTGGTGCTTATCAGGTGGGTTACAGATCGATCATGGCCAGGTGGGTGGCCTCCGGTCTTTTGAGATTCGGCACTTCTATTCTGGGTGGATCCATTCACCATCTTCATGCGCAGGGAGACATTGGAGTACTGAGTCACTTACTTCCCCTGCGGCCCGGCGTGTTTTTGTTCCCGTTTCCCATGAATGGATTTGAGCAGGATTCACCGGAGATCTTTGTGGTGTCCTCGGACATCCTGTCAGCATGACAGGTGGTGGGCGGCAACCGAGAAGAGCTGATGTTCCAATTGATCACCGTGCCAATCTCAGCGGAGATGTTCCAATTGGTCACCCAGTCACTCGTTACTTCGAGAGGTTGAACAGCCGTTTTGAGGCCGAGCGATGGTATATGAGTGTGTATTGGGTTTTGCCCTGACCCAATGAGTTTTAGATCTATGTTACTTCTTCCAAAGTGTTCGAACTGGGAGGTCTTCCTATTTATATGCACACCCGGCCATAACTCTTTTGGACCACCAGGGGGAAGCAAACCTCTTTGGGCACGGCACGGGCACCTCCATTTAGGTGGTTGAGTTAGAGACGGTCAACATCTGTGATTTTTGCCAAGTGCTTGCGAACAAGCAAGTGCTTGCGACAGCGACCCTGGATGATCATCGGGTATATTGGGATCCAACTGTTACTAGTAGCGATGCACTTGTTTCTAGTAGCGTTCTTGTTACTACTAGTAAGGCACCTGTTCCTAGTAGCGTGACACTTGTTCCAGTGGCATACGACACTGTGCCGTCCGAGGTGCCGAATGCCAAGCTGAAGGATGCAGATCCTTGGGCTGAGGGCTTCGAAGCGAGTTGGACGTTTGAGTGTAGAGTGTATATATAGAGATGTATAGACGGTATAGAGTGTTGTCTTGTTTTGAGGACATGGTCTAGAATTGTGTTATTAATGATAATGTTTGATCCTTATGATCGTGGCAAATGTGGGAAACCACTGAACTAGAGACATGTCATCTGCCCTAAAATAGTCCTGCTTGTTTTGGAATTTGTGCCCTTCTTGGTCGTCTTGAAGCAGATAGAGCCGAAAAGAAGACGTCGTTGCTCTCGCCTTCTCGGCAAAGGGTGGACACTAATATGATCTAATATGATGTTTCTTCCGAGCCTGAAGCATTCCCTCCGTTCGGGGCTGGGGACCGCCACCCCGCAGCCAGAAAGCCGTTGGACCGACGTTCCCGACCGGAAGTCCATGGCGACCTTCCCGTTCTACCGGACGTTCCGGGTGACCGAACTGGACAGGATGTTCGTTGGTGACCTTTTCCAGATCCAAGTGACCTCATGACATGAATTGGGATCTCATGACCCAGGTCACTGGGAAGAGTATGGGAAGGTCTTCAGCTACTCACAGCTGAGGCTTTGGAGTGTCTCAGCTCTGCCAGTGTGGCGGATACTTCGGCCAGTGAGGCCAGGGCCTTTGGAGATGTTTGTCCGCGTCCACGCTTCTAATATCTTCCGAAGATGGTGTTCCCTCTCAACATTCATGTGAACATGACGGGTGATGTTCTTCACAGGTCCAGTAAACTCCAAAAGTTGCACTCCTTCTTGAAAGGCCAGAAGTTAGAGTTGGAACCTTTGTGTTCAGAACATGTTCCACACAGAATCAGGGGCCCGGTACATTGGAACCACGGGATTTGGTGCGTTCCGACCCAAGACCCATCCCAAGGACCCAACAGGTCGCTCGGGCCACGACGGTCGCGATCCCGATGGTCCGGCACCGGCACCGAGAGCTCAACCAACAGCATCTCCTCGATGTTTCCCGGGTTCCTCGGGGCGCCACTCACCACCTCCCGGCTGTTTAGAAGAACACCTCACCCGCCGCCATAAAGCGCCTCCGCTCTCCCCGGCGCTTTTTTGCCGGTGTCCCCGCTGTGGCTCAGATGGAATCCCTGATCGGACTGCTGGACGTGAAGGGTGAGGAGAAGCGTCCGCATGACCTGGTCGGACGCGGTGCTCGTGGTGGGGAGGGGACTCAGGAAACTCGTGAGCTCCCAAGCAACGCGATCCAACCAACCGGCCCGTTATTTGGGGTCCCGGTCCCTTGGAGGGGTCCAGGAGCGCTTGGGAAGAAGATCCAGAAGATGGAAGGATGGAAGAACACCATCAGAATCAGATTTAAGCCTGTAGGTTCCGCCGCTCATCCTTTGCGCTTCATCCTTTGCGGCAGGAGTTGCAGTCGTCCTTTACCTACCTGGAGCGGGCACGCCCTTTGGGTTTCGGCCCGGACGGTGTTGAAAAGATCGGCAATGGAAAGCCGTTTCCCCCCCCCAATCCGGACTCCCCCTCAAGCGAAAAGGAGCTCCCTTTTTGGCTGCCCTGTTAGATTCACTCAGAGGAGTGTAGAGGGGCTTGGAGTCGAGGTGAACCCTTCAAGGTCACGGTGCTGCTGCATAGTCACGATGGTCACAGTCCTATTCCCGGTGTGCAGTGGGCTGCATCATGTCGCATGTTGCATGAACCGCGAGACTGCACGGACTACCCCTTGTGCTGCTTCTCTATCGCTGCGTGCAGAAACTGCGGCAGGGATTCGCTTTCGGTTGGAGACGTGGTGAGATGTGATTTTAAAGGATGTTAAAGGAGCCTGTTGGTGATGAGTGATGAGCGTATTGTACGATGTCAAAAGGTTGAAAGATAGGTTCTTGAAGATCGTACAAGCTACAAGGTCCGCAAGGCCCATAATCCCTTCACTTCAGAGGGTGTGCCACGCGCTGACTGCGTCAGTGTTCTGTGTTCTTCACAGTCAGTGTTCTTTCAACTCCCCAAGTGTTTCCATGCCAAGTCCACTGGTCTGTCGTCCAGTTCTCCCACTGAGACCAGACGCGTGAAGAAGACTCATCAGAGTCAAGACTTGATCGGTCTCAAGGACTCGTCCGACAGAGTGGATGAACGACGATGAAGCAAGAAAGATGATGAACATGATGAACTGATCAACGACGTCTCGTCTGTCTCGTCTCTAGATCATGAACCAGTTGAACAAGATGCTGACAGCGCAGAGTGGGTATGGCGCCCTGCTGCGACCTCAGCTTGGTGAGGAGAGCGGGCTCCAACCGGTCCAGCAGGTGTTTTTGTTGTGGAGCCAACGAGTCCCACTAAGCAGCGCCAAACAAGCCAAGGAACCACCAATCAATCAATGTTCAGTTGTTTGGGGTTTCGGGGGGTTGACATGAGTTTTAGCTGTGCCAAGTGAGTTTGTTGACACTCGTTATATACCTGATGTTGTTTTTTATTTTTAAATGTTTCTGGCAATTTGCGTGGTGTGTTCCACGCATGGATTCTCGAGAGATTTAGAGGCCCTGTGTGCCGTGATTGTTGCCACCAGGCCGAGGCATTTAGAGTGGAGTGGCCCCCGGGCGGGCGGATCGGAGCCATGGAAGGCAATGAGGACTTGGAGATCGATCACACCGTGCGGTCAGTCGAGTCTGAGGACCCGACTGATGTGTGCAGTTCAACACTTGGAACAAATCATCGTGATGTCTGTCAGTGTTGTTCATGTGTTTTTCCTTTTTCCAGTCAACATGTTGAATCTCTTTCGATGTTGGAGTGATCCATTTCTCATGTGCTTGACAATATGTTGTTCAAAACATGTTAAACCATGTTAAAACAATGATAATTTATGATAATTTATCTATTAGAATAAACTTAATACAATGTACAATGTTCATTTGTTGAGCTATTTTTTATGGGGTGCGTGGGCCTATATTTAGTCTCCTCTGTTGGGGCTTAGGAGCTATATATAAACCCACTGGAACTATATATAAATTTGGCAAACTTTTGGGGGATGAGGCCCACGCACCGCCATGGTAAGGCTCACGCACTACTTTGTGCATTGACCAGGTCAAAAAACCATGCATATAAGGAGTCCGGAGTCTTGTGTGTGTCATGTGACATGTGAGAAAGGATTGCTGGGCCGCAGATTTTGTTTCAAGATGAGGGATTCAAAGAAGGCGACAAAAACTCGCCGAGTGAAAGTTAAAGTTAAAAGGAAGATTCGGATTCGAATCAAAAAACACATAGATCCCCAGGTCAAAGTGGCTTGCCTGCTACTTTGTTGCCTCCACCTCCACCACCATGCACTGTGCGCAGGTGCCCTGTGCGAAGGGATTTTAGCCACCTCCCTCCACCACCACCTCCACCGCCCCCACCCACACTGCGCAGACAGTGCCTCCCTCCACCCCCGGCGCCACCCCCACCCCCACCACCACTGCCGAGGCCAAAGCGAAAACATGGTTTTTCACGGAGGGCCCCCCTCAGATCAGGTCTTAGATCTGATCAAGGCAGATGAAGGTTCAGAGGTGTTGGCTCCAAAGGCCCATGCGAGATGCCATAGGGGCTGCTTCATGGCTTGCCAGCTCCTTTTCTGGCAAGCGGCAAGACGGACTATTTTCAATTGCACCGCCGTGGTTCCAGCAGAGGTGCCTTCCGGTATTTTCACACAAGCAAACCAAACCCACAGTTGCTTTCCACAAAGATGAACTTATTGTTGGTGGGTTCTCCTTGTTTTGTTGACAGTTGACAGCAGCTAACATGGACCGGTATCAGATGGGATTGGACTACATGCCCGATGAGACACTTTGTCTCAGCTGCAGAAACTTTTGCAGTAGTTGTGTATCCTTTTGGTAGTTGTTGTGGGTTGTGGGCTTGTGCAGTTTCTCCACGAGCCAAGTCCTGAATTTGTCTTAGGTTTCCCGAAATACCCGCGCCCTTGATGTGCTTCCAGTGGGCTGCTGCATACAAGAAAATTCTGGATGTACCATCAGATCTCGGGGCACCTCCTGGCAGTTCAGGGTTGCCTGGCTAGATCTGGTAGTTTCAATCCTGAGGTCTTTTTCCCTTACACGGTGCACCGAGCGCCCTTCTAGCTGCCTAGGATTGCCGTCATTGAAGGATGCTCTGGTGGATGCACTGGGACCTACATCATGAGTCTTGTAGTGAAGTAGGTTTTGGTCGGTGGACTTGTTCACAAATTTGCTGCTTCTGTATTTTTGGCAATCTGTGCCCGTCAATCATTCAGTCCCGAATCTCCGACTCAGCTGTAACTGCTGAGGAAGGACATTGAGAGCGAGTTGGGGGTGCCATTTATCACTTGCGCAGCCATGGAAAAGGACGAGGCAAAAAGGAACTACTCCTTGAGGAATCATGGAATGCAGAGCCACTAGAATCAAACTAGTCATTACCATTGCCATTGTCGAGTCATTGTTTGCAAATCTGAATTCTAAGAGCCATGAACCGTGAGAGGTGTAGCAGGTGTATCCATTGCAATCTTTAGTCAAAGGGGTGAGGGGTTTGTCTAGGGGACTGTCTAGAGGATATCTCTCAAGTAACTATTTTGCTTGGGGCGGCAACTAAGTACAGCACATGTTTCGGGACACCGGCGCCTTCCTGGATGAGCTGCGCGATTTCCTTCGGAACTCTGCCTCTTTCATGACCTTCTTCTCGACAGTCTTGGCCATGAAGATTCCGGCTCTTCACCATGATCCTTTGTTTGAGGCAGTGTCCAATGCGCAACGGCAAGTGCAGGCGCGTGTCTGTGTCAGCGTCAGCCTTTTTTTGAGAGAAAGACAGGCGACAGGCGGCAAATCCTAGACCTGCTAGGACCTTCGTGATCTCACCACCAAGATCCTGACCAACATTGGGGTCCTGGAGATGTTGCTGCAGCATGCCGATGACGACCAGGCCACACAAATTGCGGCGGCTCGCAAGACTGCTGCTGCTTTAGCTAAGGATTTTGGAATGAGCCCCAAGGACCTACCAGATCAGTTGCGCTGGCGCTTTGAAGAGTTTGGAAAGAAGAATCTTTCCAGACCGATTAGTTTGTCATGAGTTCACTACTCAATGCTTTCATTTCATTCTGTCAAATTGATCTTTGTATTTGTGTTCAGTTTTTTTGTGGTTAAGGCATGTTAAAGTCACTATGGTTCTGACCAATGCGGGTGTTTTTTGTCGCTTTTGTTTGGTGTCGTCCTCGGACGGACTATAGCACACTCCCTCTACACATGGTGACTGTACGTAAGCATCCAGCCTGGCTAGCTTCACACGGTGTACGCGGTGGTCACTCTTTCAGGGGGAACAGGGCTCAGGATCTGTGGGAGCTCATGGAGACTGTGTTTGTTAGGAAGGTTATTTTGTGAATAGTTTTGAGTCAATAGACCGACTGCGTACTACGGCTGCTACTGCCATTGACCTCGATGCTGAGTGAATCAGTATCATATCGGCCTCTAACTGGCCTGTATATGGATTGAATAAAAAGAATAGCCGTGGCGCCCCCGTAAGCGGTTCCTCCAGCTCGGAGTACCCATCCCGGGCCTCTGGCCGAAACAAGAGTGGGCAGGGGGCGCCAAACAAAAAAACGGCAATTTCTTTTGTGACTAGGCAAGATTGCCCAAGTTTTCCAGTGGCATCCAATGGTTATGAGTTATGATTATGATGCCATCCATTTCAAGGGTGGGTGTTGATGGGAAACAGGGTCAGGGCCAGGGCCACTAATGGTGACTTAGGTCAGGATTGGTTTGCTATGTTGTGGGTCATCAGTTTGTTTGTCCACTGCTGCTGGCATTCTGCCAAGGAAGCCCGAACCCAAGGTCAAGGGCAAGAAGCGTGAGGGCAGTCAGCCTTCGGCCGCAAAGGCCAAGGCCAAAAGAGTTGCGAAGAGCGGCTAGCATGCCCTGCTCAGCTGTGCGACTGGTCGATTTTGACAAGACAGATGGACTCTTGTGACGTCCGTTGAGTGAAAAATCGTTGCAGTGCGTTTGATTGGCTTGTTGTCTATTTGTGCAATTTCAGTGAAGCAGTGCTTGGGGTGTCACGTGCATAAAGGGAAGCCCTCCTTTCTTAGAGATTTTCCTCAAACCCAGGCTCTCAATGCTTTTTAAATAGCTCCTGATAGTTTATAGATAGCTCCTGGTGATTTATATATAGCTCCAGCATTTTATAAATAGCTCCAGGTGGCCAACAGACATAGAGGCCCAAGCACCCCATAAGCTATTTTCACCAGGTCCTCTGCAAAGCTTCGCGCGAAATACCGTTCTCATGGAGGACAACTTGGAGACCATCGATCGGATCCACGTCTCCGAGGCGGACTTCGCCGCTCAGCTTGGCGCCAGCGGAACGGCGTTTGGTTCGAGAAGCGGCGGCCTGGTGGGTGGCGTGGTTTGGATCCGGGAGTTCAGAAAGACCTTCTCACCAGGAGTCACAAGACGGGGTGCCGAACTTGGAGGATAGGCTATGCCCATTATCCACTCACTGGATGGGACTAAAAACCCCAACATGTGACCCCTGGCATATATCCGTGTTTTTTCCTCCCAGGAACGACCTTTGCGGAATTGGTGTCGTTTTTCGGAATTGGCGTGGCACCGTGGGTGAAGTTGGCCGATGACATGCCCCGGGCTCCTGAGAGAAACCGCTCCTTAGATGTACATTTATGACCAACCCTGGGCTACAAACATCCAAACGTCCAAGACCAGCATTCTTCTCAAGATCGGGCCACTGCCACACACATGGGAACGCCTCCAGCCCGGGAACTCCTTGTCCCACTTCCTGGGTTTGGGGTTTTGGGAAGCTCTCCAACCAGAACCCCCGGGGGCCCAATGGAACAAACACTCCATATTTGCACGACCCCTTGGGGTTTTCGCTGCGACATGACCCCCGACAACCTTTTCGGTGCGACGACTGTTGCGAGGGCCACAGAGCTGACCTGAGGACTCTGAAGGTACACGGTCGGGGAAATCCACGAGGGACATCGTGGAAGAGTTCAAGCTGCAGCGAGCGGTGGAGAATTTGCGACTCTTCTACGTGGTTTTACAGCTGGCTGCCTTTGCCTTGGCCACCAGTGTGGTTGTGTCCTGGTTTTTCAAGAGGTATACGAAGTCGTTCTTAACATCTTGAAGAACCACAGGAATTCCGATGTTTTCTATATACCCTATAGGGATCCAAGTACCTTCTCAGAAGGTGGGACTGGGGTGGGTGCCAGGAGGGTCCAAGTGCCTTCTGAGAAGGTACGACTGGAGCCCTAGGGATACGTATTTTCTCGTGCTTTGGGTGCTTGAGCATTGTTTGGCATGCCGGATGTTTCGTTTGTTCGACCGTTCGGATGTTTTTCGACCGTTCGACCGGGTCGCTACGGACGGATGGAGGGACCGAGGAAGTTCGGAACTTCCAGGTGGATCGAATAAGTAGAGTCAACATATCCCTACTAGATCCACCAATCAATCCACATCCTAGTATTGTCAACATATCCTAGTTAGAGTCACTCCAACCAATCCTCTTTGCATCTCGGTGAAAAGGAAGGAAAATTCCAGATGTGACTCCCTAACGTGTGGGAACTGTAGGATGCAAGGAGTCGCGCCATGGGCTGAGTGTATTGGCAAAGATACTACGTGGGCCGGTGGCCGATCGTGAGACACACATCTTGCGTCAAGAATGGTGCCCTTCTTGCCGCGATGAATTCAGCTTCCCTGTCATGACCACAAATATGTTCCTTCGCTATAGGTGAAGGTTTTCTTGTGGTGGGTGATTAGAACCAAACACCTATACATGTGTCCCCATGTGTTTTACCTAATAGATCTAATAGTTGCTGTTGAAGTACCCTCCCATCGCCTGTTTTCATCAGAAGCTTGGGGGGCCCTCATGTTTCAACATCTTCTAGATGTGTCAATCAGGCCCCCCCTCATGTTTGCTGTTTTGACTTCCCATCGCCTTTTAGAAGCAAACGGAAGCAACTCTCATTCACCTCGAATCGAGGTCGGCTCCGCCGCCAATTTGCTGTGGGACCTGGTGCCCCCTGGGAGGACGGCTGAGGCAGTGATCTCTGGAGTGTCGGTGCTGTCTTGGTTGTGACTTGGCGACATCTCCCGTTAGAAGGCCCCATTGTTGTGGGAGCTTGTTGCTTGTTGCTTGATCTTTGTGGCGTAATTACTGAAGTGTCTTGTCGATCTCTCGGGTCGGTGGTCGCCCCAGTGTTCGCCGCTTTCGCCCGGCCTTGTTCCCCCTTCTTTCGTGGAGTTCCCTGCCTGGCGCGCAGCGAGTTTGCGGTGTGGAGTTCCGAGGCTGCAAGCGGGCGCCGTGGCCACCGTCTCCACATGCCCGATCGATGAGCTGCATGGAGGGAAGGAGGACGGACGGTGCCAAGCTGCCAGTGGTTGAAGGAAGAAGAGGTGCTTTTGGGTGAAGATGTTGATGTGGAAAGGCACGGTGGAGACAAGGACTGACAATAGGTTTTTGGCTCGCCCACGGCCTCAGCATTTGTCGACCAATGGTAAAAACCTACGACTTGGGATGGTTGATCCCACTGACTCACTTTGCAAGTAAGTTGAAGCCACCAACCAGATGAAAAGTACAGGTTGATGGAGTAATGTCCTGGAAAATCGCCGTGTTTTTGCGGGGATTGCTGTCATATGAAAGAGGTCCTTGTCTCACAAAGGAAAAGCAGCTGAAGTGCCAGAAGCAGCAATTGACTTGCCCCTGCTGCCAGGGCCCTCAAATCCCGACAACAGGCACCAAGCATAACGAAGTCACCAGGTGACAAATCCAATCTATTTGGGTCGTAAAGTCAACCCGGTCTATAATTATTCCAGAAATGGTTCGGCAAAATGCACTATGTTCAGTCACCTCCTCCATGTTTTGCATGTCGTTATATGTCGTTTGACCATGTTGAACCTTTCGAAGATGTCTTTCTCCTCTTGACCGTCCTCAAACCGAAGAACTGTTTTCGACTCCACTCCATCCCCCTGTACGAACCCAAATACGCCCAAATATACCGGAGTGGAAGGTTTTTCACCACCGCGCTACTACTTGTAACAGTGGAAAGCCCGACCACCTCAGGTTGGACTTTAACTCCTTCGTGGAGAGCCGTCCCGCCGTTTGCATTTGCCTGGGCTTGGGGCCCCTGGTCTCCGGGGCCTTCCGAAGCTTGGTCCAGAGATGTGAGGAAGTTGTGGGTAAAGATGGATGGATGGGTTGGGACAGGTACAGATCCCATCAAATCCCATCAACTTGGAATCTTTAGCCGAGCTCGTGTACATCAATCAGTTTGGTTGGGTCACCTGCAAAGATCATGAGGATTCTCGGAGGATGAGCCATCAGTGAAATCCACTGATTGGGACAAGGGATTGGGTCGGGAGAAGAGCTGGGCTGCAATACCCGCAAAATGCAGTTTCCACTATTATAGCCAGTGGTTCCAATGACAAAAACTACAGACCTATGAACTCTGGCCATGTTCCTTATATGGCTGTTGGTCATGGCATCGGAGAACTCTGGCCCGCGGGTGACCACGGAAAATGAGCAACATGGACAACCGAAAGGGGAGGTCAACCTACTGGTCCAAGGCTGAACTTTCTGTTGGCTGAAATCCTTTGTGAGTCTATCCCTAGGGCTCCAGTCGTACCTTCTCAGAAGCTATTTGGACCCTCCTGGCACCCACCCCAGTCCCACCTTCTTAGAAGATACGACTGGAGCCCATCCGGGTATGGTCATCCCCAGAGCTTCATCACACCACCGGCAGAAGCGTCGGAGTTTCCGTCGCAGTGACGTAGAAAGCCACGGGGAAGGAACCGGTCCGGTGTCTGGCACCGTTTGCTTGCAGGTCTACAGTATGTTGTTGAGTCGTTGGTGTGTTTCGTGATGTTTCGTGGTTCTGCTGATCTGCCTGGTTGCAGGCTATAGTTTCTGTTGGGTGGGTGAGCAAGAACCTTCGGCCATGTGAGGGGGGGTGGTCATATCCGATTTGGAGGGTCGTCATCTGCTTGGTGAGTTGGGAGGAATGAGAGTGGGATCTTTATTTATTGCTTTTCCTAGAAGATTTGTGTCAGTTTTTGCATATTCTTGTTCTTGGATGTTCTTGGGCTGTTTGTTGTTTGTTGGTTGTGTATAGCCGTATAGGCCGTTTGCTCAAGTAACCTGGCAGGTCCGCATCTTAGTGATTGACAAAAAGTGGATAGCCAAATAGCTGGAGCCGGCTAGAGGTTTATCAAACTCTGTATAAGATTGTATAAGAGTAGTTTTGGAGTCTTTGGGTATGCCAAAGTATATGCCGAAAAGCTTTGAACAGAATTCTGGATTCCAGAATTCAAAAGGTTGTTAGTATGCAAAAAAAAATCTCTTTTGGACACCTACTCCGCCATCCTGACCACGCTGAGGAGTGTTGGAGTTCCCCTTTCCACGCTGGATCTCTTGCTTGCCGAAGTTCAGCTCAGCAAGGTTTTTGTGTGTTTTGTGGGTGCTTTCCAGTGTTTTGCCCATGATTCCCTCAATCTTGGAGTTCCCACCATGGGTGTTCCCACCACCAACGGTCCGCCCGTCCTTTCCTCTTCCCGGTCCGCCAAAACGCGAGGGATTGGGGCAACGCCTCAGTCCAACCGGGTCCGAAGGTCTTGAGGATTGAGCGAAGGTCTCCGTTTGTGTCGGCGTTTGGGTTGTTTCATGTTTTTTGTTCCTTGGAACCAGGTCTCTAGGGACTACGGTAACCCGTATACCCCAACACTCCTTTTTTACATATGTAAACGTGTATCATATATATTCATACATACATTGGGGTGGTTGAAAAGGGGTCATTGTAAATATAGGCATATATATTAATATATATATATATTATATATTCCATACGTGGAGTGTTTGGGATAGAGATGTGACTAGTGGGTAAGGTGAGCTCACCGGTTCCACATCAAAGCACCCCCGAGCTTGATTTGGAACGCATGGCGGGGAGCTTTCTCGGGGCAAAAAGGTGGATCATCTCAGATCCCGTGGTTGTTTGGATCACCCTGAGAATCCGGATCCACTGGAAAGGGATGTTGAGGTCCCAAAGATGGAGGGTAGGGACCCCCAGGGGCCTGGTTGGTCCACGCCACGCTGAGGAGATCAGTTCACTCCTGTTTTGAACAGTCGTTTCTGTCCCTCAGAGCTGAGGTTTAGCGGCCTTGGGCATGATTCTCAAGGGTTGCCTCGGAGCCTGCGGCGTGCACCGCTGCCAGTGGTGTTTGCCCTCTTATTGCCACTCGGATTCGGAACGAGCAGGAAGGAGGACGAAGAGGGCCCTCATAGATCAACGACTGGAAACCTCATGAGGAGGATAGGACTGATGAGTTGCGATTAGGCCATTACATAGGCCTTCATATCTCAGACACGCCATGAGACTGCCATATATGCCACCCCATTGACCCCCCAAAACCACCCCATCGGCCTGATTGGCCTATATAGCAGTCCCATGGGTCGTGTCTGGGTATAATCCTTGGCATTCTTGATCTTCAACTCCTTCAAGCAAGCCTGTCCCTATCCCAAGTTCGGTGGTAGAGGACTCCAAAATGACATGTTTGCAACATGTTCACTGGCTTAATGTCCTTCAAAGGCTGAAACCTGCGGTGAGCCTCGGAACCGCCCGTTCATGCCTCCGTGGAGACCCGGGCAGTGGGCAGTGGGGTTGGTTCAACCTTTGGTGCAGAAGTGTTTGATAGCGCCAGCACTGTTCCTGGAATGTTTCTGGATGTGTGGAGTGTTTACGTTGGGGCAATTGAATTCCAAAACCGGGCATCATCATGGCCAAAGCAACTGTACACTATCGTCCATCCCACGTCATGGAGCTACTCCATACCAGCGATTTACTGTCATCTCTCCCCTACAGCGAAAGATACTCCAGGCCCGTGGCCCCTTTCGTACTGTCAGGTACCTTGTTAGAAGCCTGGTTGTTGGATATCACGGTGGCCTCCACCGTCACTGAGATCGCGCTGGCGGAAGACTCTGTGATGATGCTTGGGCGGACCTGAAGTTCAGTGGGTTTTGGGGTGGGCCTTGTCCGTGGGCTTGAACGGTGGCCATGGGTGGCCGGACGTCCGTGAGAAGGAAGCTACTATAGTAGCTTCTTGCTCCTGGTAGTAAGGCCAGGAGCCCCTGGTAGCGTCCTTGCTCCTAGTAGCGATGCCCTTTGCTCCTAGTAGTAAGTTCATAAGCCAGCAAAAGGAAGAGTAGAAGATGATCACTATGCTTGGAGAAAGGCCTGCAACCTAACCATCTTCATCCAAAGATACTGGTATTACCCAAAGATGATTTGTGAAGATGTGTTATGATGTCAGTGTTTCTTCTTATTAATACAATATAGCGGTAGCGAGATTTGACAAGCTGATTATCAGCTGATTTGGTTCCAACCAGGCCAGCAAATGATCCTGTTGGAGGGGAGATGTTGCGATTGGACCCCCAAAAGGGAAACACGCAACAAGCCACGCAAGTGTTATGACTCAACTTGGGATCACAACAAGTCACGCATCCGTGGCGTGAAGTTTAGAGAACGACTGGGAAACTAGTTCACTTATTGATCCATGTTGATCCTTCTTGATCCATGCAGAGTGGACATGCCTCGGTCCGCGCCGTGTCGCCGGGGGACAGCCGTAGGACGGATGCGTGGTTGGCAATTCATGCCTCCGCCGCAGTTTTGCTGGCCGTCTGGCTACAGTGCCGCAAGACCAAAGACACCATCCGGGTTTATGCGAACAGCCACTCGGCTGTTCCCAGGTTGTGACACCACAAAACGAAAGGCTCTTAAAGGCCTAAAGGCCGACGATTCTGCAAGACTTTCTCTTTGCGGAACAGACCGCTTGTGGAACATGGAACATGGAACAAAACCGGCCAGGTGAGGTCATGAAGCGAACGGTGGGACTGCCCACACACCTTCCTTCTTTTGTTTATTCTCATCCCATGTCGTTGCAGTTCTGCATTGGTGTACTTCTTCCTTGCAGGATGCAAAGAGAGAGAGAGAGAGAGAGAGATAGAGAGTTCCTGACTCTGAATAACTCGAAGACTCATGTTCACAACCATAGCAACAACTTACTGTAGAGGGGTTTGGCACTACTTTTGGCATTCTTTTGAGTGGTTGAGAATGAGTGGTTGAGAATACAATATTACAATATATATCATTAATATATCAATTTTTGCCTTATGTTGTCCAGCAGTGTTAAAGAATGTTAAAGACATTAAGTGGGGAGGGGGATTGATGGACCATCAATTGGAGGTTAGAGCAGTGGTGGGTTCGTTTTGTTTCCTGGTTGTTGTTTGATTTATAATGTTTTTTGGGTGAAACATAGAACCAATTGGAGTTAAGTTGTTCTCCGTAGTGCCATCTTCGGCGAGAAGATCCCCCAAAACAGTGAGATGAACATTTGGCTAGTGCTGGGAAACAGTTGGAACAATTGCCCAACTTTGCGACTTTTGCATGTGCCCAACCCAAAGGAAAGATGCCTGGTAGCTGCCTCCTCGGAAGAAGAAATGGTCCCAAGTAGCCCATACTTTCACACGTTCTGAAAAGGTTTCAAATGTTCAACGGTGTTGTTCCAGATATTCCATTGGTCATTCTCAGGTTAGCAACGCCGATGGATGCAAATCATGATGGCTGTGTCACTCTAGGCTCCTGAATTAGAAATACAGTAGTTCTGAAATTCTTTGAACACTTGAACATCCGGAGGGTTCAATCCAGCCCCCAGGCCTGGCTTCGGAAATTGGGGGCGTAAACCGCACTGTTTTGGTTCGTGTTTGTTCGTTGATTTCAGAGGAAAAAACGCCCAAAACACCGGCCAAAAAACCTCTCAGTCGCTGACTGATGCAGCTCAACACAACACTTCGGTGGTGCTTAAGCGTTTCGCGTTTGACCCTGAACCGCGACGCGACGCGCTCAGCGGTTCGTCAGGTTACATGGCCATGAGCTGGGGAAGTAGCTTCTACGCCTGCCGTGCGGTGGACCTGGCACTGGGCCACAAGGAGTGCGGACAGGTCGTTATGCGGTCCGGGGCGCCGCGGAACATTGTTTGGGGTTTTGACCAGCTGTCAAAAGGAGGTCCCGGCCTTTGATGTTTAAGATGCCAGTGGGTCTTATAAATTCAAGATGAAAGTACACAATCCAATCTTATTTGGTAAAGTTGGATTGGTGCTGGAGGACACTGACCCTCAGACAGCAGATCTTAATCTCGTCGGACTCGTCGGGTGTGCATCGCACGTGGTCACCCAGTGAAGCTGGGACTCCAAGAGCACACGCTTCGTCTCACTGGTCGCCATGAATGTTCTTTGCCACCAGCCCCCCCCCCAAAAAAAAAAACAACAGACGCGACTGGCATATCGACCTACATTCCCCAGGGATCTAAGTAATTACCTTCTCAGAAGGTGATTGGAGACAGGTTTGGAGGGTCCAAGTACCTTCTGAGAACGTACTTGGATCCCTAGGGATTGCATTTGTTCAACCAGTCATATATATATATATATCATGCACTACATGGTCTGAGGTATAGGGAACGACTGCGGTGGAACCGATGTTTCTCCGAAGGCTTTGGGTGTCCTTGGACCGTTGGCCCAGAGCTATTCCGAAAAAGAAAAAAGGACGATCGGGTGCTGGTTGCTACAGAAGCAACTCTTCTATCAATAGGTTTCACTGGTTGATGACCTGCATACAGACTGCATATGATGTGTGTCTCCATGCAGTTGGTTGGAATTTTAAAGGTATTGCTCGTTTAGCCTTGGGACGATGGTCGTCCCGATGACAATGACAATGTGTCTTTATAAGAGCCTGGCTGGTTCACTACCAGCTGGTTTGACCGGCCTGGAGCGAGGGCTGTTGGGCTCCAGATGTTGCGGAAAAAGAACACCTGTTTCTAGCAAACAGAATGTAATGTTTAACTTATACGATATGACAATAATTAAACAAAACACAAACAAAACAAAACAAAACACGTTGAACATCGTTAAACATACGATTATATACAATTGTATATACTTGAAACAAAAAAACACTTCAGATATGACATCCAGTGTGGTGTTTTTTGAACTAGGTCATTGTCACCTACAAGTATGTTTTACGTCAAACAAATTCCACGTGGGCAACCTCATCTAGAGCAGGTGGTGTTCTGGAAACTTCTCAACCTCCAGGAGTGGGAGGAAGGGCGGCACAAGGACATCGCCATCGTTGCGGCCGCCACCTTTTCAGAGCCTTGGACGCACCACGGCGGTCGTGGGCCAATTCGGTCAAGGGGCTGAGATCAGTCCAGATGACATTGTCCGTATGGATCCACTTCCTGAGAAGGTGGTTGGAGAAACAAGGAGATACATTTATATAGGCACAGAGAGTCCCAGTACCTTCTGAGAAGGTATGTGGATCCCTAGGGACTGTGTCTTCTATCAAGAAGGGTCAAAGATGATCAACTATCCTACTGGCAATGGGACAGAGCCAGATATTTCGAGCCAACCAACCAAAATAGGTGTTGTTCCTGAAGCAGGGGTCATGTTTGCGTTGTCGGTGAAAATAGTACCGGGACCCACCTCTATACACAGTTAAACCATCTTAAAACTGTTTAAGAGTCTTGGGCTCCACAGGTTGGCAACCGTCGGTCGAGTCGAGTCCAGCTATCCCCACATTCCGTACGAAGAATTGGCGCGAGAGAACATGCTGGAACGACTGGTACGAGCGAGGAGCTACGAGCCGAAGCCGAGCCGTACGGTTTCGCCTGACGGAACTCATGACAGCCGAAGCCGTCGGTCGAAACCCGCACACACGCGGGTTCCGTCGAGGCTGCGTTGTTGTTGCCGCTGCTGTTGGTCCTGGTGGTGGGCCGCAAGGTCCTTTTCCAGAAGCCGCTCGGACAGACCTGCAAGTCGGAGTGAGGAGATAAATCGAGTGAAGTCGAAGTGTTTGGCGATGTTGGGGTGGGGGAAGAAGGGAGGACACGTCTTGGCCGGTGGAACAGGGAGAGCATGAATTGTTGGAATGAAATCCGTTGAATATGTCCTTTCATGGTGAGTGAAGTGGAGAATCAACTACATCCTGCAGTGTCCGCCAGTGTCGGGAGTGATATGCAGGATTAATCAGCCCCCATTGAAGGTCAACGAGGTTCGAGATTGGAGGTATTGGAGACCACATCCCCTAAGGCCCTAAGAAAGGTGATGACCTGATGATAGACTATGCTTGATAGGATTCTGTGTGCACTGTGTGCACCATGAGAGTTTGAACCATGAGAACCATGAGAGCTTAGCCTATTGGCACAAGCTTGACACCATGCGAATTCGGGTCAGATTTTCACCATTGGAAGAGTTTCACAATGGGAAGATATTGGGTGCATGCTATCTGAAAAGAGAAGTAGATTTCAGCTTTAAACCATATTATAGTTGTTTAACTTTCTGCGGGCAGGTGGGCTTGATTAATAGGGGAGTTTATGTTGTTGCAAAGGAATATGTTTGTTTAGAGGGAGGTCATTTAAACATAAACACATAGTTTGGTTTAGTACTGTGGGCTCGAGATGGGTTTCATGAATGAGGGGAGGTTACTTCATCCGATGCGCACATCGCACAAGGTTTACAGTTGCTTCATGTGGAATGTACATTTTAACAGGAACAGCGGTAACAATCTATTAAATTCTCGATGCACTGGTTCTTCAACGTGGCCTAAAAAAGGTCAACCCAGCTTGAGGTCACAAACGGGCTGGCAATAAAGGTCTCCGGTACCTTTTTGGGGCCTAAGGGACTGGAAAAAGGAAGGTCCCTTTGAAGAAGCTGGACGTGTTGCTTTGTTTTTGGTTGTCGTAGTTGTTGCGATTTGGCGCCCTGAAGCTTCAAAACTCCATGGCAGACACTGAGCTGATTGCGTAGTTCAGGACTCAGAAACCCATTTGGTTGGTTTCCTCAGGCTGGTTTCACGCACTTGAAGGAACCTCTTCATGTTTGGCCTGTGTTGTTTGGCTCATTTTCCGGAACAGATTGAAACGACAGAATTCCCCTTTTTGAGGTCCCTTGCTTGCTGATTTTGGAGTGCTTTATTCAAGCATGCAGGAATCCATGTTCTCGATCCTCCCGCAGAAACGTTTGATGCATCAAAAATGGATCCTTTTTACCCAAGCCGGCTGGTCTGATTGGTGTTTTCATTTGTAATTACCACTGGACCACTGGTGTGGGCAGGTTGGTCTACCTCTTGGACCACCGTCGGCGTTTGCAACTTCGGGATGGGGCCTTTATGGCCATGTTACTGGATTCCTATGTCGTGGAACCTGGCCAGCCCTGGTGGCTGTTCCTTGGAGAAAGGATCGAAATGGATCGACACTGAAGACTGAAGAGGCTGGGGAGTGGCACCCAGACATGCTTGATGGTGCTGATCGGAAATACATGAAATGACCACCTTTTCAAACAAAGGTCTGACCTCCAAAAGGCCTACCATGGCCTACCTGTCAACCTCCGAGAATGAATGATTTTAGGCTTACATGCCTTTCAATGTTCTCGTCCACGAACTCCTTCAGGATCCACGTCATACACCGATGCTTCCATGACACGTTGGTCCACGTCATAGCGAGGTCCCTGGAAGAGATCGCTCAAAAGTCCACCAGCGGCTCGCACACCTTAGCCGCCTGCAGCTCGTTGCCCACCGCACGACTGGAGGGCAAGTCGCCCGGTTTTGTGGTGGGCCGTGTCACCGAGGCGCGGATCTAGAACTGAAGGAGGAAGGACGAGGGCGGTGAGTCATCCATCCCTTGCGCCATCGTTTCCAAACATGTATTTCTATATATGTTCAACGTGGTGAACTGCCATAGGGAGATACCTTTTGCGAAGCCAACACAGCAACTACCTGCAGCAACTAGAGGAAAGAGCTCTTCCTCCTTTACCGCCACTGAGCAATTCCAATGCGGACCGTCCAAGTAGAAGTGTTGATGTCATTGTTGCGATCTAAATTACCCGGTGCAGGGCTTCTACGTCTGAACAACTCCGATGACCGTACGGCCGGAAAATAGCATCCAAACAAGTCCAAAGACTGTCCAAACAAGCACAAGTTCCCAGCAACAACAATTTTTTGGGGGCGCCGCGTTGCCGCGTTTGGTTCTTTATCAGGGCCGCCCTCCAGATGCTCTTCTTTGAGTCGACCTGTTCGAACTCGTGAAGTCAAACGTTGGGTCGAATTGCCACAGCCTGGCCAAGGAATCCTCACCCCAAATGCCAGTTTTGCATCCGGTACTTGATAGCAAAAAGAAGAGGAATATCTCAGACAGTTTGGACCCACGTGATGACGACACCCAGGCATCATTACTCGCACACGGGCATTGTTGTGTTGAAGCATGTTGAAGCTCATACAGCCTGAGAAAAGGAGCACTTCCGAATTGACCATCTCACATGGTTCACTCCGTTCACTCCCCCCACATCAATCCACACACACACAATGCACTTTCACAGCAAAGATGCCACTAGTCACCCTGAACATCAACATTGGCCCGGGACACCGGGACACCTTTCTCCGTGGTCGGCGCTTGAGACGGACGGGGCAAGTGCGGCAGGTCAACCACTCGGGTGAGAGACCAAGGGGGCGGGTGATGGGAAGAAGACCACCCAGCGGACTGCAAGGACCCTGGGATGGGGTTTTGTAGCAAGGACCGCTACGAATGTAGCTATAAGATGCTATAAGTGCATTATATAGTAACAAGAAGCTACTAGGTTGGAGGCCATCGCTAGTAGGTTGGAGACAATTACTCTACAGCCGCTATAGGAACTACTATACTAGCTTGCTATAGCAGCTATAGTTGCTACTAGTAGTAGTAATGCACTTGTTGCTGATAGCGGTGCACTTGTTACTAGTATAGGTTGTATTCTCAGCACCGGACACTCCATAAAGACCTCTTCACCGACCCTTGGCAGGATGATTTCTATTCCACGACCTGCAATGTATTTTTATAATCACCCCCTCTTCTGCATCTGAAGGGCCGCGACTCTTCCCCAGTCATGAACTGCGCGACTTTCCACGCGGTTCACCTGTCGACTTGACTCGCAGATGGTGAACCCACTTCCAACCACCCAAAAAGACATTCAAAAAAAGCCTCGCACCTCGCTTCTCCGCCCCATAACGCCCCACTCTTCGACACTGGACCTGCACAGGTCGCGGAGGTGCAACGCTTTCAGCAGGTCTTGCCCTGGCCCGAGAGCCTCGGTCGTCGCTTCGCGTTGCGGGTGCCCGAAGGTTCGCATTGCGGGAGTTTTAAGGATGACTTGGAAGTACAGGGGGGCATTCCAAGGGATGCTTTTCTGACTTGTGTGACAATGTGAGATATACACTATGTAGATTATAGGTCTCAGACATTCTCAAGCACGGAGTCGATGATGTCCTTGCAAAGCTTCTGACTTTCCCAACACCACAGTCAGAATCTGCTGTGCTTTGCTTATCGACCAGTAATTTGCCGGTGCAACTACGTCTACTGTACTTTGGTGCACCTTGCCGACCAGAACTGCAGTGGAAGCCATTGGTCTCAACCCAAAAGAACTCTGAGGGATTGCTCAAACTAGTAGACAAAGCATGAAACATGAAATGACATATAATGACCAGGAGCAACCAAACCCTAAAAAAAGACGACCATTTTCCGAACACCCGTGTTTTTTGCACACAAGACGACGAAAACCCAGTGGTTCAGTCAAAAACTCAGTTTCTCTCGTTCAGAAACCCGTAATTTGTCCGTAAAAACACGTGTGTTTGTGAATGGTTTTTGAGAACCCGGTTTTAGTTGCAAAAACTGTGTTTTTTTTCAAGACCCTACATGACCCTACATGTTTCTAGGTTTTGAATGGTCTTGGGACATGAAATATGCTTGAGCCCTCGCCCTGTAGGCATGCGGTGGACATGGGTAATGACATGGGGCTTAACATGGCTTAACAAAAGTTCATTATTGTCATGCAAGTGTTTAAAGACACTTAAAACATAGGTGCAAACTCCCCAAGTATACCAAACACGTTCCAAAGATGTGAGCCAATGGCTTTCGAAAGATCTTTAGACCTCTCTCAAAACCATTCAACACTCACTCGTTTTGGTCTCTTAGGATTGTTTGTTTTGTTACGGATGAGTCATGATGAACCATCGTTTTCGCAGCGCTTCCGTCGTTTGTCCGGGGCGCGATGGTGATGCGGTTTCACAGCGCTTCGTTGGGTTTGGGCCAAAACACACCAACACAGGCTGCTTCGCCGGGGCCGGCAGAAGCTGCGCTGTTTGGACTGGGCTGCACAGAATCCCGAGCACTGGCGGCCCGCACCTGGACTCGAAGAGACAAACGACTTCGGGGCCGTTTTTCGGGGTCAGTGGGACCTGTCAGTACCTGCGAGAGTGGGGGTTTAGGAGTTTAGGGTCGGTATGACCGCATGGACTGTGACGGACACGATTTCTCCATGGACCGAGACCGAGCAGGGATTTTCGGAGTCGAGGAGAAGGCGAGCGGACCGGCGGTTTTTTGGTGTGAAAGGGGACCAACGTACTCTCCACATTCCTCCAGCAAGATAACAACGTAACATGCGTATACAGCAACACGTAGCAATCCGTGGTTTGGAAGATGATTCATTCATGGATTTTGTCCTTTTCCATGTGATTGTATTGCTGGTTGCTTCTCTTTGATCTCTTCTCAAAGCGCTGGTTGATGGACACCCCTTGACCTCTTAAGGGGCTATGAATGGACACCCGGAATCCATGGTGCTGGTAGGTGTTTTGAATGGAAATCGCTGGTCAGATCCCAACCGAGCCATCTCAGGAGACTCTCGGCGAGTATCAGCTCTCCAGGTGCGGTCCTTTCACCGTGGGGGATGGAAGCACCGCACTGGCACCGGACCCGGCCGAGGGTCATGGCGCATGGCGCAGCCGAAAACCGTTCGACTGCAGACGTGCAGGTCAATCATGGTGGGTTAGATGCGAAGGGCCTCATGTTCAGTGAACACATGAGCTTGCTCGTTTGTGTTGGTGTTTGGATCTACCTGGACCCTCAATGTAAGCGGTGCCAATGTATATTCCCCAACATTCCCCAACAATCCAATATCAATGTGATGAATAGTGTGATGAATCCCAAAATTTGTACCTACATTGAAACATCCTTCAAAACCACCCCAATGTACCTTGAGTCTCCAAAGACCTTTTTTTTCTGTGTTTTTGTTTTGGGTCTATTTTTTTGCGTTTTTGCTGGAAAAACGCGTTTTCAGCCATGAGGATTCAAAAAAAGGTACAGAGTGAATCTTCATCCGGACGCGTCCGGTGCGACGCTTAAAGACGCCTTTTGGACGCAAAAAGACCCGTTTTGGACTCCAAAAAACGTTCTCAGGACACCGTCTAAGGAGGATCTGACAGGGCACAAACAAAAAGGAACATTTCGTGACACATGCAAAAAAGAGTGCTTTCTTTCAAAAACCTCTTTTTCTTGGAAAGGCAACTTTAAAAGGGTCATTGGAGACTCAAGGTACCAGTAATTAGACAAATATTCCCTATACATGGATCGTTCGGGGAGATATGCCTTTGGGTGGCATCTCAAAAGCCCCATCTATACACCATCGGAGGCCTTTACAGCGTGGCGAGACCATCGACTACTTCGTGGCTGGGCATAGATTACTTGTCCTTGTCCACTGTGAAGGGGGTTCACCCTGCAAGAGTCGATCTAATGATTTTTCCTCTTAGCATGGTGGTGTTTTGTGTTGCTTGTTTTGTTATATGTTTATCCTGATATATCCTGATTGATGGATGAAGGAGTAGGTAGGCTACCTTTGAACTTGTGGTGTTTGGTATTCTGACGGATTTCGTGAAGTGGTTTCGCGTGCTTTGTGACTGGGCTTTGGTTGCCCGGAGAAACGCGGCGGCCAGGTTTTTTGGAGCGTTTCTTTTTTGGGTCGACGGTGGTCCGTGGTTTGCTCGGCCAGTCGTTTTGGAAAATCAAAGATATCAAATAAAGTATCTCCTCACCAACTACCACTTTGGGGGCAAATGTTGTCAAACGACTCCATGACCAGACTTTCAGGGTCACCTGGTTGAGTGTTTGACCACCTTCCTGCGCTTTCGGATCGAGGGTTAGACCTGCGAGTCGCTTGCCGATTCCGTGAGCCCGAACTGCATCGCTCACAACCAGGCTGGACTAGCCCGGGTCATCCGGCTGGACTAGCCTCCACTGAATGGTCGGTGACAGGGCACCCTGATGGTCGGATGCTTTAAGGCACCTGCCTTTTTCTCCACAGATCTTTACAGACTGAACGGTCTCCCGCGCTCTCCATCGCGATCGGCCTTGGGGTATGATCAGGTTGGTTTTCAAAGCAGTCAATGTAGGCAAAGCGAGTCCAGGGTGTCATGGGCGGTTCCTCCGGTGTCTCGCGGTGTGTGAAGCCCAGGTGTCCCACAGTTGGTCAGATAGTCCAGAGCGCAAGTGGCGAGCCTTGCAACTGGTCGCCGACAGCTTCTACCGCTTGCGTCTCGGGTTCCAACCAACGAAACAGCTTGGTCCCGGTTTTCCGGTTTCGTTTGTTCGCGGAGGTGTTGCTCTTGGAGCGATTCTGTGCTTTTTTCACGCCGGAAGGGGGCGGAACGAAGAGGCCAGACTGAAGAAAAAGGACGATTCGTAGAACCTGGGCGTTCGTAGAACGAGCTGACAACCAAGGATGCAAAGCACGGTGCAGG